TTGCCGTCTGTGCTCTCCGCGCGGATGTTCACTCTCGGCACTACTCTCGCATGGTAGAGAGCTATGGTCGAGGATTTCCTCGACCGTTATTCACCCTGGCCCAAGGGAGCTCATAGCCTCAGGCGGGGTGGGGGAAAATATTCAAAAGACAAAACCTATCAGGAAAATGTCAAATGAGCCAGTCACCTTTGTTCCTTATTAGCGTATTTCACTTTTCAGGAAGGAAATGTGATCGTTTCTTGGGATTGGGATCAACAGAGCATTTCTGAGAGGGTGGGTTTTAGATCCTTACGGGTTTGGAGAGCATACACATTTTAAAGCAGTGTTTATTGTTTCGACTATTGTACAACCGGATTTTTGAAAGCCTTTTTATGAGCGGCTAATTATTCAGACGTATTTTAAGAGAGAGGAACGAAAGTGGTGAAGTCAAACCTGTTACGTTTCCCCCACTCATAACTTATGTATGTAATTTATATAATCGATTAATTGTATGAAGAATGATGAAGTAATGAAGTATACTGATCAAATATCGCCTGATGTTTCACTTACATTGTCATAAAGTTGCCTTCGCTAGGCCTGAACTTTCCTAATCCCAAAGTGCTGTTCTTTCCCTGTTCCAGTTTATCTGCTGAATAATTTGCGTCTCGAAGAATCTGCGGCTCTCCCAAAGCTACCTGAAAAATAACGTCTAGAGAACAAATTGTTCCGAAAATAGTTTCAAGAGATATCAGCAGAACCTGACAGCGTCTACTAATGAACGAGACAATGAGCGACATGGGGGATGAGTTCGAGTTAACCCTTTCGGACCTGAATTTTTCCCCGTGGAGAAATTTTTCTTCTAGCTATTGTTTATTACTTGTGAGCATATAGGTATCATTATGGCAAAATTTGGAAGCTATTCGATCACAAACAAAGAAACTAAGAAGCTTTGAAAATTGGCCCACCTTCTTAGTTTTTAAGCTTATGTCGAAACAATTCGAAATTTCATAGTTATGCCGAAAAAGTTTATAATCTTGCATAACATTATAACCCATAATTTTGATTTAGGAATGGATCTACTTCAAGTATTTTAAGAAAAAGTCACACTTACTTGGCCGGTTGCGGGGGTCAGCGCCCATTCATTGTTGCACTTGTACACAAATACTTGTAATACTAACAGCAACACACAATGAAATGGCAGGTTTAGCTCATAATTAGGAAGGGGAAGGTTGACTGAAGCAACCTCTAGCAGGATTAGAAAAACCATGCTGTTTCAGCGGCAATGCAAGCGTTTGAATTTGGTGGTGGCAATTGCCACCGCCAGGGCCGAAAGGGTTAAAACGAAGGAGGAATCGTTAAATGTACTCCTACTGCTCGTATAGGGCGCGCATCGCTTGCGCCCCCGACCCTATCTGCTAACCCGCGCGATCCCAGGGCCGTAAGGATCTGCCTTTCCCCGAATGCTTGCGGGGACGAAAGTCCCTTTAAATTTTTTTTTGAACGACACTGTTTCTTTATTCTCAATGCATGTTTACTTTAAGCAACACACATATATTAAATGTAGGCCCTTTATCAGGACAATCCCAGTTGGGACGACAGAGAAAATTTAAAGGGATTTTCGTCCCCTAACCCTTCGGGAAAGCATACCTTACGGCCCCTAAGGCGATCGCGGTTGAATTCGAACATTCCAGCTTCTCACGCATGTCAAGTGTCTGCCCTCACCCCCCACCCCCCTAGACTGGCGACACTGCCCCTGGCTCACGGATTCCCCGCTCCACATTGAAGGGTTCACTGTAGCAGGAGGCAGTGGGACCCGTAACGAATGGCGCCCTTTACTAGTCAGAAGGAGTAAAACGATAAAAAATAAAAAAAAAAAAAAAAAAAACAACAAAACGATGCTCCTGATACAAATTTAAGTTCGCGCAATAAATTGTACGAATATAAGAAAATTGCCTCAAAATTAATACAAAACTTTTGTTCTAAATCAAAAAAAACAAACAACCAAATAGAGGATATCAAGTTTTCAAAGATATTTGCAAAACGCACATTATCAAACAAAACAGACCTCTGAAAAGCATCAGGAGAGCGCATTTGCCCTTAGCAGGATAACAGTAGTTCCCTGATTTGCTTGCAACATCAGCGAAGTATATGCCTTTTCCAAACATGAATCCTATAAAATCAGATTATTAAACATTCACTTCTCAAAAACTCAAGCGGAATTATGAAGCAGAGCCCATGATAAACTCACACGAAAGGATGTCCAGGTTAACTCGAATGAAAGAGGTGGCGTTTGCCTCATAGCTGCCAATAATAATCTTCTATAAGACAAACACAAACCTGTGAAGGGACTTCTGGTGGAGCTATGCGAAGCCCTTGGGAAAGAATATTGTAGAAATTGCTTGTTCGTGAGCCGTGCCACAATAGCATTCTGAAAGCATAGTTATACTAGACTAGAAGCAGTGCTTGACTGTTTCCTCGAATTCTTCATCCAATTGTATGGTGATTTTTTACACAAAATAATTTCTGGGATCGCCCTCAATGCAAGCCACACGCTATTATAAAAACTATTACCGTAGGTCACACTAAAATAGAATACATCGGGTTGCGGATGCCTTCCGAAATTATACTATTTCATCCTATCACACTCAAGAGATTGATCCTATTTTAGACCTAGTCATCTTATTACCTGACAATTTATAGATCTTAAGCACACCAACTGAAAATGTACTGTTGCTCAACCGATGCTTTTGAAGCGCTGATCTTTCGCATCTCCTTGTGGATCGATAGATATTTATTATTTCCCATTGGACAATGTGTCATACCATGAGAACTCGCAAGTATTTTAGCAGAACAATTGAAAAAGCGGCACTAAAAATATTGCGACACTTGTCCATAATATCGTATATAATATATTGATGCGTAGTTAAACGGCAACATTTCATCGACTAGTCAGTTTGATTTTCCCACTTCGTGAACCTAGAGGAAGTGCAAAGAGGACCGGCAGCAAGAAACGAGCAAGAATATGCGAGATGCCAGGCGTAAGGGTTGCCTACTCTAGAGCCGTGAACGAATTCATTAGCAAACACTCAAACAGACAACAGACTTGGTGCCATAGGCGTCAACATAGCAGCAGAAGATCGAGACAGAGACTGTACCGCATTCGCAGGGACGGGTGGCAAGAGCCAAGAAGGGCGGCCAGAGTCCAAAAACTGAGCCCCGGGCGCATGGGACAAGCCTTCAAGCCCCAATAGTGAGATCAACTTTGCGGTTACGGATCCCGCTACCCTATTCGCTGTATTGTTTCACCATGCCCAATCATGGAATGTGCAATCAGTGGTCATTTTATGCAAATAAAGGCGAAACAAATGGGTACGAATTCGCGTTGCGGAGATTACCTTGAACTCTTTATTAGACCGTTCGAGTGGCCGCACATCACAGTGCATCTCATCATAGAACCTATCAATTGCAGCTCTGCCATCGTTTTTATCACGAGCGTGGCGCAAGAATTTTGCAAGACGTTTGAATATCCTTGAGTGTTTCGAGCAACAGTAATTCCTTTTTTAAATCTTCACGTGTTTTAATCAAAGGTGGTGGACGAAATCTGAAAAGCACAAATGCAACAATTACCTTTTAAGTCAAAATCAAATTTAAAAAGATGAGACAGTACCCAAAATCGTGAGGAATGGTGGTGTAGTACTTGTTGACACTTTCGTAAAAACGACTTCCGAATTTATTTGTGTTTATTGCTTCCTCTATCTCTCTCAGACATGTGTAACCCTCTGTGATCTGCTCCGTAGTAAGATTACCTGAAAAAAAGTAGCTTAATTTAAGTTCAGCGAAGAAACAGGGAGTATAATCAAACAAAACTTGTAAAGGTGAGCACAGTTGACTCAAAGAACCGCTGTTGATATAACGCGATTATGTTAATCAGCAATACAGCTACTTAGTTTTGAAAATGCTCAACGCTCTCAAATAGCCGCCAGAGCAGAGAGAGCAAAAACTGCAAAATCCATCTACGGCAGTTGCGCCAGGAAGTAAGAAATACAGTAAAAAAAGATGCTCACTTTGTCATCAATAGAATTAATTCGCTAATTATGGATCTGCGAAGGGGGTGTAGTCCGATGCACGCGTCTTGCGACGCTGAGCTCAAATCCGTTTTCGATTTTTGCCGAACGATTCTCTGAACGAAGTTACGAGGGATTCTTCTCACTGTGGCGCCCTCTACATGCCACTTAGCCTTTCCTTACCCTCTGTGCACACTGCGAAACTGTTTTGTTTCGATCACTCTAAGATGGCCCATCACAGCGCTCGTAAGACATTGAAATTTTATATATTTTTGGGTTTTACGTGTGTAAAAGCTCACAATGATAAAAAAAAACTTCAAAAAAAGCACGAGAAGTGAAATTCCAGGACCTGCACCTTCAAAGGTGAAGTGGGGACGCTATCAACAAATAATCAATTTCAAACGCTTTCTGGGCTCGTATGAGGAGCCCTGAAAAATGCAAAATTTGCCACGGCCAAGGATTCGAACATGTGACCCTATGAAGCAAGAGCGCTATCCACTACACCACCAGGCTCACTGCCATGGCTGCTCTCCGGCTCTTCTTACGAGCCGAGTGGGATAGGGGATGTAGAGGGCGCCACAGTGAGATAGCCACAGTGAGAAGAATCCCTCGTAACTTCGTTCAGAGAATCGTTCCGCAGAAAACCGAAAACGGATTTGAGCTCAGCGTCGCAAGACGCGTGCATCGGACTACACCTCATTACAAATGGCCGGACTGACCAATTGACCATTCCTCGTAAGCAGAGGATCTACGAGAATTATAAATCATTCGATATATCCTCATCCTGTTGAATGTACACAGAAATAAGTGATTAAAAACCTAGATCTATGACGAAAGACGTGAATGAGCGTTTAAAAGAAGGAAGTAAGCAATGAAGCGATGAGCTACTGTGCACATTATTGCCAAAGTGTGCCAGAGACCTTGGATAGCCCTAAGAAAGTAAGTA